ATGATCCTTCTGCAGGAAAACGGGACTAACCGATCGGGCCACTCTCCGTACTGCAAACCACAGTTTAGTGACTTCCCACCGTCATTAAGATTTATTCCAAAGGCCGGGCGCGGTGGCTCACGCCTGTAATCCTAGCTCTCTGGGAGGCCGAGGCGGGCGGATTGCTCAAGGTCAGGAGTTCGAAACCAGCCTGAGCAAGAGCGAGACCCCGTCTCTACTATAATAGAAAGAAATTAATTGGCCAACTATATACAAAAAATGAGGCGTGGTGGCGCATGCCTGTAGTCCCAGCTACTGGGAGGCTTGAGGCAGGAGGATTGCTTGAACCCAGGAGTTTGAGGTTGCTGTGAGCTAGGCTGACGCCACGGCACTCACTCTAGCCTGGGAACAAAAGGAGACTCTGTCTCAAAAAAAAAAAAAAAAAAAAAAAAGATTTATTCCAATTTTTTTTTTTTTTTTTACCATGTCTTAGAAAGACCTGTAGGCCTGGCTTTCTTCTCTTTGATCTATGTTTCTGTATGCGTATATATTTGGAGATAGGTCTGGAGCAAACACTGGCAAGTTTTAACATGCATGCATGTGTGTGTGTTTTACATAAACGGTGTCACACTGGCTATTTCTTAACTTGCTTTATTCTCATCAGTGTCAGGGTGGAGGGGTTTTTCGTGTGCCGGGCCGTGCCGATCTAATCTGGCTTTGCAGCTGCTCGGTAGCATTCCCTCGTGGGTCCAGGCTGTGATTTATTTAGCCATTTCCTCTGGCGATGGGTGCTTTTTGTGCGTGTGTCTGTGGCAAAGCAAAAACATTCACGGGCCGGATGGTTTTCCCGAGCGTCGTAAGATCCGCAAGTGACAGATGTCAGTCATTTAGCATCTGAGCAGGGCCCACGCAGCACTGTCTACTGGAACCTTCTGTGGTGATGCAAATGCCGTCTCCCTGTACATGTTTGTCTGTATGCGACAATGCGTGTGTTTAGTATGCTCAGCAGCCACTAGCCGTGTGGGGCTGGTGGCTGGTGCGGATTTAGTGGGCACGTGTGGCTTGAAGCTTCATGCGGGACATTGCAGAATTAACTTTCCATAAACATGAAGCTTGAGGGTGACATCCTGGCCAGGGCATAGCGACACCCTGGAAGGTGGAACCGAGGTTGTGTCTTACTACCTGTGTCTTCCGTCCCCAGCACTGTCTGGCGTCCAATAAATATTTATCGGATCAAAGTCACTGAGAAGCGTAGGAAGTTGAGGCTTTAGTTACGATCTGTGTCTGTTTTCGTGTCCCCCCATCTTCCATGCTTTATCTGAATATCTTTTCCATTAGTGCTTTTTTAGCTCTACCTGCTTAATCTTTATTCCGTAATAATTATGCAGCATCATGCCGTTAATTGGCACGAGGGAAGACCTAGCCTCTGCTGATAAGTTCCTCTTATCTTACTTGTCAATAAGAATAGAGAGTATCTAAAATGTAAAATTCACCCGAATTTACATTTAAATTAAAACAAAGGCAAGAAAAGATGCCGGAGCAGGGCACTAATTAATGTTGACATAGAAACCGGAATATCCCTTTTGCATTTTCTGCTAATCCACGCTGCTGCAGATGCTTACCTAGCGTTTTCATTGCTTTTCCACAAAAGCCAGCTCCCAGTAGTTAAACCAGGGAGCACGATTAGCTGTTTCCTCCCACCAGACTTTTTTTGTTATGATTAACTTATAAAAAACCCCCTGAATCACATTGAAATGTGTCTTTGATACAAGTTGGGGATTTGGGAGGAAAGACAAGGGGATTATTTGACTGAGGCTTTGGTTCCTGGGGCCACTAAAAGCAGACAACCGTTCAGCAGTGGGTGAGTAGCCTTCAGCTGGCTCAGACAAGACGGTTTGGTGGCCGAAACTGGATTCTACACGCATTTGTCACAAGGCAGCTCTGTCGAGATCGTGCTGAATGGTTTTATGATAAAATAAGTGCATATTATAAGGGAGCTTAATTTACTTTGTCAAAATGAATGCTCTCTAAACCTTGGATTTAAAAGAGATTAATACGACAAAAGCTTAGGAATGGAAGGCAGCTACTTTTCAAAGCTTTTTTTTTTTTTTTTTTTTGATGATGCCCCAATTTCTCCCAGTTTTATGAGATGTCAGAATTCATTCCGTTGAGGAGGAGGAGAGTTACTGTCTGGACTGTGGA